GTAGGGGACGGCCAAGATTAATTTGGTGCAAATATATGGAAGGAGTCCGCTCCAAACTCCAGTTGTATTCTGCCGAAGCTCAGACTCTAGCACAGGATCGGGAACGTTGGAAGTTCTGTCTGACGCGTCTGCTTCAGCGAACGGAAAGGAGAATCTGTCATGGAAGAAGAAGATCAAATTCTTTTGCCGACGAAGTGGCTCTGATAATCTCTACGCGTCGCGACCTTTTGATCTGGGGAAAAGTCATACAGATGGTAGCCAGAGGTGCGGCAGATGCTTCCGCGCGTAGACATTGCAGGGTCGCTTATTATTAAACAGGATACAGGGAATAAACGATATCATCCGTCAAAGCTGATTCGTATACGGTGCACAACCATGAAGGAACGATCGGCGCTCAACGTCTGGTCGACCAATAGAACTCTACCGCGAAAGGACCACCTGCGCATGTCATCTGGTTAGTCATCTGGCTCACAACGGAGAAGGAGGAGCCTAGACTAGAAGATCCATTGTTTCTTTGACAGTAATGCACGTTATAAAACAGGCCATCTGTCATAACGGGACCGCAGTAGAGTGTCACAAGGACAAACTCAGTTAGGAAGAACTTAATTCGTATGATCTAAGGTTGTCCGTAAAAGACTTGTGTTGCATCATCAAAGATATTCACGCAATGACAATTATTAAAACATTGTTTGAAATGATTTCAGCCCATACCCCGATCACGCTCGGATCCTGTGGCACTGCATGATTTTCAATTTCCTTCTTCGACAGCGGTGGCGGATGGTTCACATCCAGTCCGATGAACATTACACGTGATTCAATCCGTTTTTCAACGCTGAAAAATCAAATTAATCAGTTGAATTGCTGTCGACAGAAGGTTTAGCACTCTTACGCTGGATGGGGCAGCGAAACTTCGTTGTTCAGGCCACCATTTTTTGCGTTCATTTTTAGAGTAAGGAGGTCACATGTTTGCGCCTTCGCCTTCACGATCGTCTCCGCCAACACGCACTGCGTAACGACATTATAGCAGACCTCGCCTTGGTACTTTATCTGGTCTGAATAACGAGTTTACGAAAATACTTCAATTATTAGATGGTTACTTCTCAAATTCTGATCCTTACGATTAGGCATAACGCAAAGAACGTAAGTGGCATCATTCTTACACAGATACTTGAAGAATTTTGGCAACTGTTCATAGGATACGTTATCTATGTTATTCCATGCCGAAAGTTTGATTCCAAAGCGCCTCGCAGTTTTTGTCAATTTTTCCAAAAAAGGTCTGCAAATAAATTCGGTTCAGAGCACAATCGACCAAAAGCTCAAATACACAAAGCCTGTTCTTGAAAGAACGAAAAAAAGTATTCTCCATAAGTGTACCCAGAAGGGAGAGAGGGCAATCACAAGTGTAACGGATCGAATAACGGAAACATGAAGACTGAGGGTGAGTTTAGCAGTGAAGGTCTTGATACGGCTACCATAGCATCAGTGGTACCCTAAGGCAAACGGACTGTTTTATACCTTAAAGTTAGAACTCAATAGATACACTCTGCATACAAAACAACATCAGCGAAAAGAGGACTTCACCGGTTTAAGTGTACAAAACAAATGCATGGGAGAAACTTTTGCATCATCCCTTCTACCATCAGATAGCATGATAGCGCTTCTGCACAAGAAGAGCTAATGATTCAGAAAACGGTTGATGGATAGCCATATCAATAGAATAACAACAGAAAATACACTTCGAGACTTTTGAAAACGCACAGGCAGTGAAGTAACGTCGGCCATAATACTATCATTTTTCAGTCATGAGCGACTTTGCTTCACTGAAGCACTAAGGGTTGTTGATTTTCATTTCAGGCAAAACAACGTTATTTTTATGAACACAGATCACTTTCTGAAGTTCGATTATCAAACATATTTTCGGTAAACGAGTTTAAAATCCCTGCAAATTTTCGCTTACTGGTTCTTCGATAAGTTCTGATCTCTGAATGAGGCGCAGACTGCAGACAGTTAGTAAATGCAATAGTAATGCACTGGACAAGCACAACTGGGAAACACAAGTTGGCTACAGACAGCTTCGCGTACAGGATTTTCTCACTTGGATAGCAAGGAAGCCAACAAATTTCCCGCATCAAACATCCCGATTCCGACAGCAGAAATGTAATATTTGCTTTACGGATTACCAAATTTCTCAAAGTTGTTCTTTCGAGCTGTTACATTTTGAGCCCATTACTGAAGAAAACGATGATATCGACGGTTAACGATATTTCACAATTCATAAATGAAACTTCAGTCGTTCTCCCAGGGGGCAGTTCATGATTCTCGGTGACTCGTCAGAAGCGTCGCTCAGCCAATGAACATGTGCAGTTCAACGAACCTCAAAGACTTTCCTTATAGCCATTTCTTCCATTTTTAAAAGATTTTTCGAACTTCGTATTCGCCTTCACACGGAGAGGGTACTACGTCGACTGCCAGAATCTGACCAACCAACCAATACCCACACAAAAAGTACCTGAGCGCATTAAACGCAATTGTCACGCAATGTTAATCACGTTAGGCAGCACTTGGATACAGGGAAAATA